TATCTCTACAATGAAAGATCCGGCTGTTGAAAAGTTCTATATTAGTAGTAGTAAGAATCCTTCCAAGACTCGGTGTATAAACACATCCTCTTTTACTAATAATACTTATAGAAACAATAGGTCAATTTCGAAATTGCAGTTTCGAATAGAAAATTATAGCTCCTAAGGTGAAATGGAAAATTTAAAAAGTGGCAAGTATATGTAGATCCCTATCTGAACCTTGTTTTCTGTACTTAAACGAAAAATTGCAAATTATCAGGGTTTTTTTTATAAGACTGCTTTACTAAACTAAATGTCTGAACTAACCATAAACTGTAAAGACAGTATACTTTTTACCTTACAATTCTGCAAGATTTAAAAGTTAATAATTATTTTTTGATAGATTTTATTTAAGTCATGGCAATTATGTGTAAAAAAATAATATCACCCAAATGTCCTCCAAATCTGAAAGAAAAAGAAAAAATCATCAGACGCTTGAACTTAATTCACATTTTAAATGGGCCCAGTTATTGGAACACCCTTTATAAGATGACGAAAAATACAACTCTTATTTTTGTCTTATCTTATTTTTAGCATAATTTGAAGAAGACAGACACACTGTCGAAATATTGTTGAACAGTGTTCAACAATGTATCTTTTCTTTTTTGTTTTTTTTCCTAAATCGTGCTATTCTCTAAGCGTTACAATAATAATAATAATAATAATAATAATAATAATAATCACTATAATAAATAGGAATTAATATTTTAATAACAATTATAATATAATAATATCATTGGTAATGTCATCATCAATTTCATCAAACAAAATATTTCGTTATGGAAAACAACTCTTCAACGCAATCATATAAATGGCGTCTATAATTCTGGCGAAATAAACATAAACATAGGAATATTTCAAGGTGACTTTTTGCCTCCCTTACTATTTGTATATCCTTAATAACATTAACCAGTGAACAACAGGACGGATTGTGGTTATAAGACATCTAAAATAAAGCCATATCTTATAGATGGATGTCTTAAAGTTGTATGACAGTGAGCTGAAAGCCACTTTTTTTACGCGGGTCATTACAACAAACCTCCTCTATTAGCTTTGACCATGGGGTAGCCATCAAACATTTAGAGCAAGAATAAGCTTATATAAATAAAGGTTATAGAATTCGCCATAAAAAATGAAAAAAAAAAACAATAGTGCGAAAAGAGTACTATAGAAGGCGGCGACAGGTACTAAGAACTGTAATGGATTCTCGGAAGAGAACTATGGCATTTAATAACCTTGCCATCCGAGTGGTTCAATAAAGTATCGACACCTTGAACTGGACTCTAAATAACATCAACAAATAGATGCCAAGGCAAAAAAGCTTCTTTCTTAGCATAGCATGCATCATCCAAAGGCCGATGCAGACCATCTATACACACACCGTAAGAGATATTATTCAGCTAGAATTTTCATACAATACAACATCTATTGGCTTGCTAACACAAATAGAAACGACCAAGGACTGGATGATACAATTAGTCAAACAACACGAAAGCAGAAAAAATATTCAATCATGAAAGAAGGTAGTAAATACAAACGAGATTTACATTTGATAGATTCTGTAGAAAAAATACGGAACCCAATAACCAAATGTTTCAGCAAAAATATGAAATCGAATGCCAAAGGTAAATTTCTTGAACAGATGAAACAAAGTTGGCAAGACAAACCACTGCACATCTAATATGTAGAACTTACTGATAAAGCCGGTATTGATAATGCTACACTCGCTGATTGTTACGATCATCTGTATTAAACGTTGAAAGGGAAGGCTTTATTCTTGCAGCGCAAGAATAAAACCTTCCCGTCTTTTCATTAGAAACTTTCAGGCAAATATCATACATAATAACGCGGATCCAAAATGCAGGCTCTGTGACAAATACCAGAAAACCATAGGCTATCTAATCTCAGGCTATTCTGCACTTGTGCCAAATGAATATAAAATAGTCACGAGGGAGTGGAGCAATATTTACACTGGACAACGTGCAAACATTTTGGAAAAGATGTTAACAAACACTGGTATGGTCACTACCCTGCACCGGTCACAGAAATAGAAGACAGCGCATTTCAATAGAATTACAACATCTTTTCGGAGAGGAAACTTCAAACGAACCATTATCTTTCCTGCCTGCTAGTTAAAGACCAGCAAATTAAAACACGATGACATTTTCATGCATCTTCTCTGTTTTTCTGTATGAACAAATTACAATTGGTCAAGGGCCGTTCAATAGTGACGTCTCAAATGCCAAGCGATCATTTAAGTATTCAACACCATTTTTCCCGTTGGAAACAGAAAGGCTCTAAAATAAAATAATAAAAAATTGGAAAACAAAGCAATAAGTGCTGAATAAAGTTTGGGTTTATATTTCTAACAGAATTATAAAATCTCGATTATTACTCGTAAGATGTAGCGGTTTTCCATATACATTTAATGGAAGTGTACGATATGTTACAGCAATAAATTTAGATATAAAAGTCCTGTAAACAACGACTGAATTATTTCTTGACCCCTGATCGTTTTTTTCTTTGATATGCAATGCCTTTCCACAGCAAAATAATTTACAAAACAGCAATGCATTTCTTTAGACCAATGCATTTTCATAATAAAATACGTTAATATCGTCTATAGTAAATCCCCAGTATTCATTAAATAATAAAACATACTGGAATCTCCAGTCTGTTATTGGGAAACAATCAAAGCAAATCGGCCGGACATAATTATAAAAAAACTTGCCTAGTTGTTGATATGGCTTTCCCAGTAGACTGTAACAAAGTAACCAAAGAATTTGAAAAACTATTGAAGTACAAATACATAGAAATCGAAACAGAAAAAAAATGTGGAATTTGAACACAAGATTAGTACTAGTCATAGTAGGTGCGCTTGGAATGATAAAAAAAGGAACACAAGAACACATGAAAAAAAATCGCTGGAAATTTCAGCTTAAGTAGAATGCAAAAAAATGTCTTCATAAGTACAGCACGCACACTAAGAACATTGTCCATGTAACGCTAGTGATGTTATGGGAGTTAGAAAAAAACTAATCATAATAGTCATAACAGCACGCTATTAGTTCTTCCCTCAGACTTGCTAGGTAGCTTAACCATAGCAGAAATGGTAATAATAATAATAATAAAGCTAACTGCCCAGACATTGTTATTATTGATATGACAGTCCCTGCGGATTGCAATGTATCTTAGAAGATATTCAAAAAGTTATCAAAATACAAGGACATTGAAATCGAAATCTCGAAATTTGTGGCAACATGAAAACATCAACAATACCTGTTGTAGTTGGAGCCCTCGTATTGGTTGGAAAAGATTCCAGTAAACGAATTGAAGGGATTCCTGGAATCCCATGCTTTAAAGAAATACAAAAAATTGTTCTGATGAGTACAGCCAGCACCTTACGAAGCGTTTTATCGATGTATATTTTTTTTTGTGTCAGTGGAAAATGTCATGATGCCATTTCTAACCTTAGGTCACTGGGTGCTACCCGGAACGAAATGTGTACACACCAGAAATTAAAGGCAACACTAATAATCTTCAAAATTATTTTGAAATCGAAATTTCACGATTGTATCACATGAAGACATCATTATTCCGGTTGTAGTTGAAGCCCTCGGACCACACTTATTCCACTTGTAGTTGAAACACTCGAATTGACTGGAAAAGGATCCGCTAGACTCATTGAAGTACTACCTGGTAGCCCAAGGCTTAAAGAAATGAAAAATAAATGTACCCTCAAGTACAGATCACACATTACGAAGTGTTTTATCTGTGTAAAATGTGTGTGATTTTTTTTCTTTTTCATTTTTCTTTTTTTCCAAAACTACTCAGAAGAAAATGTCAGGATTCTAATACTGACTTTAGGTCTCTGGCTGTCTCCCGGAATATACAGAAGAAATCAAGGAAAATGAAATAAAATAATAATAATAATAATAATAATAATAATAATAATAGTCAGTGGAAAGTGTCATGACGCCATTTCTAACCTTAGGTCCCTGGGCGGGACCCGGAAAGAAATGTGTAAACGCCAGAAATCAAAGAAAATAAAAATAATAATAATTCAAAAAGCTGTCAAAATACAAGGACCTTGAAATAGAAATCTCGAAAATGTGGCATATGGGAACATCAACAATCCCTGTTGTAGTTGGAGCCCTAGGACTGGTTAGAAAAGATTGCAGTAGACTAATTGAAGGGATTCCTGGAAGTCCATGCCTCAAGGAGATACAAAAATTGTTCTGACAAAGTACAGCCCACACTTTACGAAGGGCTTTATCTATGTAATTTTTTTTTTTTTTTGTGTCAGTGGAAAGTGTCATGACGCCATTTCTTTTAGGTCCCTGGGCGGGACCCGGAAAGAAATGTGTAAACGCCAGAAATCAAAGAAAATAATAATAATAATAATAATAATAATAATAATAATAATAATAATCCATATATCTATATATTTATCTATCAAACTTTTCATATTTATCTATCTGTTCATAACTATAGTCTTTCTTTAAAGTTAATTAATTACACACATATATAATTTATATATATATATATATATATATATATATATATATATATATATATATATATATAATTTATTTGTACGTGTATGTACAGCTGTGTTTGAAGGTGTACCTCTACGTATATGTTCATAGGAAAACCATTCTGAATATTTACACAATGATGTGTACGCTAATATAGGTCTGTATGTTGATTGCGTCGAGTATTGTACCATCATATAGCGAAAGGAGTGGGTGTTGAATTTCGCATGGTTCAATGCTGTTGATGTACAATCCCATATTAAAGTCTTTTGTTGTTTGCTATCTCATGATGTTGAATTCTGCTGAGAGAAAAAAAAATAGTTGCAAGGTCAACAGATTTCTCATTTATGCTTGGAAACTTCAAAACGGAAAGAAGGGGGGAAAAATATGAAATTCGTGATAACCGTGAAAACAGTGTGCAGCACCATGAAAAAACCCGAAGACATGACAGAAGTGTGTGTGTGTTTTTTTTTTTGTTTCTCTTTTTTTCTTTTATTCCTTACGTATTTTCCGTTTCCTTCTCAAATTGTTTGTTCGCTTTCGTCTCTTTGTCTTCTTCTCTTTTGTTTTTAGTTATTTTCTTTGTTTTCCTTCCATCATGTCATTATCTTCTGATCTTTATTTCAATTATTGTTTCGATCTCTTCTCCTCGGATTTTCGGGGTTTTTTTTTTCTTTCTTTCCTGTTGAATATTTTCTATTCTTAAGTTTTACTTCTGATGTTTTTCTTCAGATGTTCTCACTTTTAAAGTTTTTCTGTTGTTGTTGTTTTCGATCCTCTTCCTGCCATTTCCTTCCCATCTTCTTTTAGTCTTTGGTTCGCTCTCACTCTTTCCGAGCGTTCTTCTTCAGAAAATATTCTCCAGATTTTCAGCAGATTTTCAGATTGTTCTTCTTCTTCTTTGTCTTCCTCTGAGTTTTCACTTGCCTATTTCTTGTTTATAGCACTGCTTTTTTCTATTTCAGTCCCTAATCCTCTTGTTCGTGTTCTTCTTCTTCTTCTTCTTCATTTCCCGTTTCCGGCCCTTACTTCTCCACATCCACTTCTTATTCCTCCTACTCCTTCATTTTCATTCTTCTTCTTCTTCTTCTTCTTCTTCTTCTTCTTCTTCTTTTTCTTCTTCTTCTTCTTCTTCTTCTTCTTCTTCTCCACCTACACTTCTTATTCCTCCTCATCCTTTTTCCTTATCATCATCTTTATTCTTCGTCTTCCCTCCTTCTACTTCTTGCACGTTTTCACTTGATTCTTATTTCCTGTTTATAGCACTGACTTTTTTCTATTTCAGTCGCTCTTCTTCTTCGTCTTTTTCTTTTTCTTCTTCTTTTTCTTCTTCTTCTTCTTCCTCATTTTCTTCTACGTTATTTTCTGTCGCTACCATTTCTGCCGCTTTCAATCATTAACATGATATATTTCCTTATATCACACTCTGAGATGTCCTTTTCTTCTGTAGACTATTTTTCTCATCTTTCTCTACACCGAATTTTCATCATCATCATCATCATCATCATCATCATCATCATCATCATTCCTTGATTATCCTTTAACCCTCCGAAAAATGCGTTTTTTTTCTTATTTTCTTCTTCAAAAATGCTTTTTTTTTCATTTCTTCGTTTTCTGATCATTCTTCTTTTCTTTTCGATTTCATTAAACAATTTTGAACCTTCGAAAGTTTTCTGAGAATTATCTTCCCCATTATTTTCTTCGTTATATATATATATATATATATATATATATATATATATATATATATATATATATATATATATATATATATATATATATATTATTATTATTTCATGCTCACCTTTATTTTCTAATTCACTATTCATTCTCATATATATTTATCCTGAATTTTTACTTTTTCTTGTTCTTTATATTTATCTCTTTCGCCCTCTCCTTTTCTTTTTATTTTCATTTTTACCTTTTAATATACAGGGCACGGTAGAAATACCTCCCACATAATGGTAAAACATTAGTAACAATGGTGCTTTTATCTAGTTAATTTCTTACCATTGTGTGTGGTGTATTTCTGCCATACCATGCATTGTTTTTTTTTTTAATTTTTTCTTCATTTTATTTGTTCTTCATTTTATTTTTCACATCCACTTTACCTTTTCTTTTTCTTCTTCATTCTACTTTGATTATATTATTTTCTTTATTTTCTTCGTTTTTCTTTTTCTTTCGTTATTTTTTCAGTATCGCTATCACCTTTTCTTTCTCTTCTTTTGCGTTTTATTTTCTCTACTTTTCCTTATTTTATGATTTTTTTTTCTAATTTACTGTTTCTTGCATATATATTTATCCTGAATTTTTCTATTTTCTTTATTTTATATTTCTCTATTTCGTCTTACTTTTTATCTTTCTCTCCTCCTCCTTTTTAATATGTAAACTTTATTTTCCTTAATTTAGTCTTTCTTTTTCTTCATTTTATATTTTTCTATATCGCCTTCATTTTTTCTTTTTCTTCCGTTTTTTTTTTTAATTTTAATAAATTATTTCCATTATCTTCTTTTATTTTTTTTTCAATATCGCCCAAGCTTTTTTTATTTCCCTCCATCGTTTTCTTTTTAATTTTTAGCACTTTCGTTTCTTTAATTAAGTTTTTTTTTTTCTTTTGTCTTCATTGTATATATTTCGGTCTCACCGTCACCTTTTATTTCTCTTCCTCTTTTTGTATTTAATATATTTTCTTTATTTTCTTCTTTTTTTCATTTATTTTCTTCCTTTTTAATTATTTTATATTTTTTCTCTTTTTTTTTTTTTGTCTCTTCAGTTCTTCTTTACATATTTTTCAACTTTTCTTTCTCTTCCAATTGCTTTTTTAAATTTTTCTTCTTGATTTTATAATTTTCTATTCCGAGCATTTATTTGCTTTCTATTTTTTTCATGTTTTAATATGTCTCTTTTTTTTTTATATTTGGAAACTCTGCATTTCTCGTATTGGCGCTAAATCTGTTTTCACATCGCTATCACCTGATAAAATCTGGGCATTATTCAAACAGCTGCTGAGGAAGGAGATCGCGTAGATGTTGAAGCAATGCGATATGGAAATACGAAAGAGGTGGTGATGAAAATATACAGAATGTAGCAGTCGAGGAAGAGAAAGCGAAACAGATAACAGAAGAAAAAGGGTCGACGAGAAAAAATGAAGAGTAAAGGAGTAATTAAAGAAAGAACAGAAACCTCAGCCCTTATAGTTAATAGAGAGGAACAATCGGTTATTTGTAAAAGAAACTATTATAAAATATCTACCTTACATTACAACTCTAGAAAACTTAATAAATAAGAAAAAATATTCAATATGTTAAATCTTGACAGTGTCAAAATACCATTAACCTTATTAATCGATTTAATAGCCACTGTTCTGTTCTGGAAACGGTGGGAATTAATGAGTTATGTTAATTACGAAATTAATTTTGAATTAATGTGTTATATTAATTAGAGAATTAATTGGTTCTGTTTTGAGAACCATGAGAATTAATGGGTTATAAGTAGAAACCTATAATTTATTCGATATTTATTGACCTCTATACAGGGTGGGATGAAAAGTTCATTGCCTGACTATGAAAGAGTGATGCTAGAGCTGTGAAATCTTTTATGCATCAATTCCAACTTTTCTTATTGTTTATTTCCAGGTAAACTGACATATGACTGTTCATCTTGTTGGTCAAAAAAGTAATCAGCAGCAAATACGATATCATCAGCGATACTTGTTCCCAGCAGAAAATGTTCATATTGCGTAACAGATGATCGTCCAGTCAGGAGAATAGGGGAAGTGATCAACCAGTTCAAAGCCCTGGAAGCATGAATGTTCTTGGAGGTTATAACTGTAGTGATATGTAAGTGAGGTACTGTATAAAAGGCAGTATCACTATACGTACCTTCTCATGGCTGAGTAATCTTTCTTTGGGGAGTTACTTTACTTTTCACTGTCAACTCTACGTCCTGTTGCGAAGTTGAATTTCTTTCCGAACAATTTGAGTCGCATTTGTCACAAAGATTTTTTTTTTTTAAATAGAATTTTAGTTTAATTTCATTTAAATTTTGATTCATTTTTGCGGATATTGGGTACATTTCCTTTTCAATTTTGCTTTCATTTCGTATTTTGCAACCCCCGTCTAGCTTGGAGCTAGTTTTCATTCGATTTTGCTCAATCTTTTTTTTTTCTGGAGCGCTGATCTTATAAAACTTTCAGTTATGTTTGGATAAGTCTTGTTCTTATTTACATCGTCATTGTCATGTTGTACTGATAATTTTATAATTTATGAATATGTCCTGAAGATGGTTTATTAGACCGAAACGTCCAACGTTGACATATTAACATTAAAACAGCTTAATTGTATATAATGATTTTTTGTTTGTTTTTTTTCCGTATATATTGTTCTTCATACTGTCGGATCTATATCCATATATTTGCTTACATATATATATATATATATATATATATATATATATATATATATATATATTATTTTTATATATATTAATTTGTTGTAATTGGTTTTGGTTTTATACGTATTTCTACCCCTCTTTCTGGTTTTAATCTTTATTGTTTTTTTTCTTTTTTTTTGTGCGTGTGTCTCAAATTTTTGTCTACTAAGTCTTTTGGGGGCGAAACTTTTTAATCATTTTGCTGTGGTTATGCTTCGATCACCATGGAATTTCCCCAGATACCGCCGTTGCAGGTGGAACAAACTGCACCTTCTAAAAAACGGTATGTACTTAAAAAAAAAGCCCAAAAAATGCGCTAATTACTAAGCGCAACTTCAGGCAAAGTATGAGTATTATATATGTAGAAATTCATTTCTCGCTATTCGGGAACCACTGGACACCGTGAACGCGAAAAAAATATCTCCCTGTTGGCCACCGAAGTAAAAACTCGGAAATTAACTGCGGATCAGAGAGAAACAAAGAACAAAGCGCTAAAGAGCCTTAAAATTGGGCGGAAGATACCGGCTAGAAGATCGAAGACCATGTGAAACATCTGATGGCTACAGACCAAGAAGCCAGGCAGCTGGCTGAAAGTATGTTAACGCCAAAAACCTTTCATTTCCAGACCGAATATATGGGAATCCGGAAAGATAGGAGGGACCATACATGGGGTGCCCGTGAATATTACCGAGGACCAGATGGGGTCCGTTCGCTCGATACGGGCAAGCAGAAGACGTCTCAGCAAAAATAAGTAAAGCGTGCTTTGGTCCCGGGGACTTTGTTCTCCAGGTAACAATGATCCTCAAGAGCATTTCAGAAATGCCTAACATTCTGATATACCGTGGTTAAAAGGATGTTTGTCATTGTAGAAGGGCATCGACCCTACTGCTGGTCGTGTGGCGTCTCAAGGCACATGTCAAAAGCATGCCCCAGTAAGAACACGGCGCCACAACCTCGCCCAACAACACCAACAGCTGAAGGCCCTCAATTGCCTCGGTGTTTGGAAAGAGGTTGCGAGGAGGGGACAAAAGACAGCGAGCCCTCTTCCCCAGCAGAATGTCCCACAACAACCCCGGTAGCGGCCAAAGTAGGAAAAACAGCAGCAAACACAGCATCAATATGACCAGCAACCAAAAGAGCAGCATCAGCAACAGTAACAGCTACAGCAACAAGAACAAGAATAAAAACAGCAGCAACAACAACAACAAATGGAACACCAACAGAAGCAACAACATGAGCAACAAAAGCAGCATCAACAAGAAAAACAACAACAGAACCAGCAGCAACAGCAAAAGCTGCAACGGACAAGAATATGGAAGCGGGGAAATGCATCAACCTCGGTTGTTTTCTTTCAAGTCTCGTTTCGGGAAACACCTACCCGACCCTGTTTTATAGGCGGTCTACGGGGAATTTTTGGCCGAGTCTACGGGCATGGATACCACACTTTAAATTTGGACTTGTGCCACATCGAAGCGGGTTGGAGATTCATTGTGGAATTTACGTGACTCACTTCTAGCAGTTGATTACTTCTTCTACACACCGCTAGCGAATCTTATTTGTGTTGTTTGCGTCCTCAGTATTTTCGTTCATTATCAACTTTCGTGTGATCATTCTATTCAGTAATCTTCCCTAGCTTACAACAGTAAGAATGAAAAAGAAAAGAAAATTGTATAAAAGCACAGTTCTTGCAAGGGATGGGCATTTTTTTTTACCTGACACGTGTGCACGCACTCGAGTTCCCCACGTTAAAACCGACCATGTGTCAGATATCGTTTCAATAGATACTACTATAGTTGATGATTCGTTTTTCCGTCCGATTTTTTTAAAAAAATTATGCGTCCAAGCACCCAAAAACAAAGACAAATTTGGAAGTTTTCAGGAGAAAGTGATATTTATTCTGTTTAATACAGAAATGTGGCACAAGGCCGAAAAGGGGATTGGGGAAAGGACGGTCTTCTTCTGTCTTAACTATAA